TTGTAGATGATCATGGTGTTCTTCAGCTGGAAGGGTTTGCGGTTCTCCATCAGCCGCGGGCCCAGAGTCGTCACGAAGAACACGTAAGCGGCGATGATGAACGTCTGCGGGAACGGGGAACCCATGAGGAGCCAGTTCCCTGTGCGCGGATCTGAGAAACACACACACACACACACACACGGTTACTTAGGAGGAAGAGGAGGAGGAGAAAAGAGAAGAGGGAGGAAGAGGAAGGACTCACCTGCTTCCTTGAGCCACTCATCATACAGCAGAACCGCTCTAGAGGTCAGTGTGTTGAAGGCCATCTCTGAGGACCACAGAAACACACACACACATTAGCGCGCGCACAAACACACAAACACACACACAAACAAACTCTCCCTTCCTCTCTCTCTCTCTCTCTCTCTCAAAACACACACACACACACACACACACACACCTCTCTCACTCCTCTCTCTCACACACACGGGCACGCGCGCGCGAAACAAGCATATAGGCTACAAACATTTTCTCTCTCTCTCCTCTGTCACACACAATCACTCCCTCCATCTCTCTCTCTCTCTCTCTCTCTCTCTCTCACACACACACACACACACACACACACACACACACACACACACACACACACACACACCTCTCTCTCTTTCTCTCTCTCTCTCTTCCCGGGCGATCCGCGCTCCTCTTCCTCTCTCTCACTCTCCTGTTGGTTTCTCTTTCAGCTGGCTCTACCTGCAGTTCTTATACACCTGAGGCCGGGCTCCTCCCACTCCTGTTCATAAATGGGGTGCCGTCCCACGAAACTTCCGGAATTTAGGTCGAAACTTCGAGGCGCGCGCTGATTGGCGTCTCCATGGGGACCAGAATGAAAATATGAGCGGAACGCGGTGTGCGCGGCGGCGTTTCGCGCTCAAGGAACAGCGTAAAGTATGAAGATGACTGACAGACAGGTGAAGCTGCAGGACAAAAGGTCTCCTCCTCACCAACATCAACAGGAGACGGGCTGTGTGTCATCACAGCAGTGGCAGATATGCTGAAGTCAAATATTTCATCTAGATACACACACGCTGCCGTTCTGTGACATTTTTACCCAGAATCTCCTGTAGAGGCGAAACGGGATACTTGATTAAAACCGCTCAGGATAATCAGCATCTGTCATTTCTCCATCAGTGTTGAGATCCGTCATGGAGGAGTGCGGGCCGCGGTTTCCCCGCTGCTGATGGACAGGGAATGGGCGGAGGTGCAGCTGGAGAGCAGGGCTGCAGATCTTCTGTGTGCGGTTTCAGTTTCAGGGCTCGGTCTCGGCCAGAACACAATGAGAAAGAGCTTTTACTCACTCACTATTGCACAACAGCGGAGGGTGTGAACAGCACACACACACACACACACACACACACACACACCAGTGGAAAAACTAGGGTGTACAGCAGTGTAGATCCACACAAATGCAAATACAGCCTTCTAGAATAGTCCCTACTTCATCTGCGCTTCATAACACACGACAGCTCAGCGGTGAACACCAGACATCTCTCTCTCTGACTAATGAGAGAGATTAAACTCATCTACTGCGAGTAAAGTGTCTGCAGATATCCTCCTGTTCTGGTTTATTACAGGTGTTAAAGCACTGAGCAGAGCTGAAGCCTCGAGTTCAACTCGAGCAGCCGATCAGGAGCCAATCCGGAGAAAACTCTGCTGAAATTCACAAACACTTCACGTTTGCACTGGACTCCCCTGTTTCAGAGCTCTCACACGCTGACAGACTCTGACCCGTTCACAGCGTTTGCACAGCAGATGCAGATCCATCCTACAAACTGAGCACTCAGCAGACACACAGCATCATTAGACGTTAGTATCAGGCGAGATAGCGTCTAGAGATGATGTTGTTTTGACGTGCAGTAACGGTGTCAATGTTTGGTTGGTTTTAGGTTATGTTGGAAAATTACCAAAATCCACCATGGAGCCGACATCTGAACCCAGCACCACACTGACATCTGTTCCTCAGGTATGACAACCCAAATCCATCATCATTAGATGTTGATATTTGGTTGTTTTTAGATTGCATTCTAAAGTAACCAAAATGCAACGTCTGTCCAACATTGGAGCTGTATATGAGGCTATATGAGCCGTATATGAGCCGTATATGAGCCGTATATGAGCCGTATAGGAGCCCTTATATGAGGTTATATGAGCCGTATATGAGCAGTATATGAGCCGTATATGAGCCGTATATGAGCCGTAAAGGAGCCCTTATATGAGGTTATATGAGCCGTATATGAGCCGTATATGAGCAGTATATGAGCCGTATATGAGCCGTATATGAGGCGTATATGAGCCGTATATGAGCCGTATATTAGTCGTATATGAGGCGTTTATGAGGCGTATATGAGCCGTATATTAGGCGTATATGAGCCGTATATGAGGCGTATATGAGCCGTATATGAGCCGTATATTAGTCGTATATGAGGCGTTTATGAGGCGTATATGAGCAGTATATGAGGCGTAT